GGGGTCAAGGGCAACAGACAGAGCAGAAAGGAAGGACAATGCCTCTGGTAATGCCAGTATCCTGTAAAAGCTGACAATTATGAAAATCAGCACTACATATAGGTGTTCAATAAAACATAAACAGCTATATTTACTCATAGCAAACATTTTCTTCCTAATTGATTGGAGAGTATTTCCACAGCCACATGTTTTCACCTTTGCTTCAAATAAGAATCAGAAAATTTACTTCACCAGTCATTTGAGAATGACTTTCTAGCCATTGAGAAAGCTTAAATGACAAAGTGCTTCTCCTCCCCATAGAGCTAGCACGGCTAGATTCCCAGCCTTTACTCTTCCTTAAATGCAGTTGCTTTTGGTAGTTTCATGAGCATCCTCCAGTTATTCTAAAACTACATAACTTACAACAACTTTCACAAATATAACTCTGAATCAGTCCTCACGATGACTCTGAGCAAGGAGGTTACCTGTTATTGTTTCCATTTTTAAAAGAGGAAACAGATTCAGAAAAGCCTGGTTACTTATTCACGTCTATCCAGTTCATAGCTGAGCCTCAAGTCCAGTGTTCTACATGGCACAGTATCTCCAAAGAGCCTCTCTAAAAACTATGTCTTAAAAAAATATGCAATCATACTGGCTTTTTTCTTCTTCTTCTTCTTCTTCTTTTTTTTTTTTTGAAAAAAAAAGAGAACGATTGAATTAGGCTTATTGGTAATATACTTAATCTCAAAAGCTGCTGTCCACCTCATTTTAATACTTCACCCCCATCCAGGATTTGCTCTTTCCTTTTCCAGTCAAAAATAAAATATTAGATGCAAGATATCTACACTATGAGGGGGACGTGGTACTTTCCCTTGGCAGGTGCATATCTTGTAGTACAGGTCAGTAAACCTCTTGGTCTTTACATAGAGGTTGCAAACTCCTCTCCACTCATTCTCTCCCCGCAATCAAAAACTATACTCAGGACTTTTTCTTGATAACTGTTATTGCATTTCTTCTCTGGTATGCTGTAACCCCACTCAACAACACACCTGCATGCTTTCCCACGTTTCTCTGTAGATCCAAGCCCTAGACATTCTCTAAAGGTTAACTCAGACTGACCTCATTTCAAGAAGATGCTATGATAACCATGGCAAGATTTGCTCTCTCTTCTGATTAAATGCTGAAAAGTTTAATGTCTGAACTTGATACCTCTAATCTTGTTGTCTATATTATTGTTTAATTTTTCATGTTTGACTAATCTCAAGGAGCATATGTTTCAAAGTAAAAAAAAATACTTTATATTCGCTATTATACCATCTACCTCTCACATTGAGGATATAAGCAATGACCCAGAAGGTTATAATAAATACAGTTGGCCCTCCATATAAGTGAATTCAACCAGCCTTTGATAGAAAATTTTAAAATTGTGCCTGTACTAAACATGTAGGTTTATTTTCTTGTCACTATTCCCTGAATGATACAATAACTATTTACATATGACTTACCTTTTTGTAGGTATTATAAGTATTAAGGAGATGATTTAAACTATATAGGAGGATTTATGCATATTATATACAAATAGAATGCCATTCTATATAAGGGACTTGAGCATTCTCAGATTTAGGTGCCCACTGGGGTCCTGGAACCCACAGACATTGAGGAAAACTGTAATTGTTTAAGAAATGGATGGACTGATAACATACTTACACCTTCATTTTGGAGCATATATTTTTCCTCCACTCTTCTCTCCAAGGGTGTTTTTGAGGATATTTCCCTTCACTTTTAGTACCAAGGCTGGGTATGGTTTACCTGCATGTGGATTGACTTTGCTCGTAAAGTCACTGTGAATGGTGCAGGTTTTGAACATGTCTTTTAATGGAGTTTGCATCTTTAGCTTTAAATCTTACCCCCAGAGAATGCTATTCTGTGTAACAAACTCATCAAAACTCCTGTGGCTGAGCAGGAAGGTGGAGAGAATCTGAAGCAAGGTCCTTGGCCAGTTCTCACTTGCTTTTCTTGCCCCTGCCTACCCCTGGGAAGCCTAGGCCTTTGTAGGACACAACTTGATAACTCTGACCTCTTCTGTGTGCACTGGTCACTATAATCTGTGGCCCATTTTGAGAAAATACAGAAGAATTATGACCTATCAAATCCATTCTTGACTTTATTGAATCTTTATGGCTCTTTTGTCTTTGTCCCATTTTCCTTAACAATTAAAAAAAATTTAGATGTTGATGGACCTTTATTTTATTCATTTTTTTATATGCAGTGCAGAGAATCGAACCCAGTGCCTCACACATGCTAGGCAAGTGGCTTACTTGGGATTGAGCCACAACCCCGCCCCATTCCTTAACAATTTTTGTATCTTATTTCATATTTTGTAAAGATTTGGAAGTTATGTCTGACATAAGGCATAGAAGAGGAAGATAAATGAATGGATGGATGGATGTATGGATGGGTAGATGGATCGTTATGATACTACTTCTGGTGACAAAGTACATAAGTACTTGTGAAAATTTATCAATAATCAACACTTACAAAAAATCATACAGACTTCTCTTAGACTGTTCCCACCATTCCCTCATGGTGCAACTGTGCTACATCCCCCCTTGCACTGCACAGGGCAGGGCAGGGCCAATGAAATCCCCAGTACAAACCACCTCTAAGCAAATGCAAATGGGACCTCAAACAAAGCAGCATTGAAATATTTCCTCCTAATAACTATTGTCAAAAAGCTCAAATCCTTGAATGCTCTGTGGAGTATTATGGCCAAAATTTTTCAAACTGAGAAATTAGTCTACTTGATGACAGAAATCAGTTCTCTCGTGTGTTCTAATAAAGGGAAGTAGGAAAATGGTAACCAAATCAGTAGTAGACATCCCCATTTCTTTCAATTTCTTCTCATAGAGCAGTATTTCTCAGCAAAATCACATCCTTGATAAGCTTCTTTCACCTTCATATTAACAATGGCTGCCGTGGGATGTATCAGCCTGCCCTATTACAGTTGCTTACCCTGTCAGTTTGTTGAGATCTTGGCACCTAAACTTCTCCAGACTCACTTGCTGATGACTATAGAAAGTTCAGGATCAATGGCTTTCAATGGTTCTTACATGAGTGAGTAGAAATGCCGATTAAAGACTGGTAATGGAATGGCACACTTGCCTGTGGATCTCAAAGCAATTTACCAAGCATCATTATATGATCTTAGAATGTCGAGGGCAAGTGATTGTGTCCGCATTTGCTCCTGGCGCTGCGAAACCCAGGGCCCATTTCTCTTATTGCTTTATGCCCCACCAAGCTGATGATAACCCTGGGAACTCTTCAGAAATCAGCGGGGAGGCTGGTGGAAACTCTACACGGCAGGGGGTTAGAGGTTAAGCCTGCCGCTCAGTTGTCCCACAAGGAATCACACAGCAGATTGGTTACTTCCAGAGATTAGCTCCTTCCCGTTGAACTAATGGATATCCTTTTAGGTCCAACCAGTGTTCCACATTTTGAAGCTTCTGACCCAGATCCTCCACTGGGAGTCTTGGCTCTACTGCCAAAGAGGTGAACTTGGGAGGGACATGGTGGATTCCCCCCATTGGTGCAGGAAAACAAAGATCTCCTTCTCCCAAACACTAAGGCCAAACCTTTCCCTTTCACTTTCCACATACACCTTTTCGGTTGCCTTTTTCTTCAATAGCATTTATTAGGTATTTTCTTTCTGAATATAAAAGTGATTATCAGCGTAGAAATGTTTGAAAATACACAAAAGCACAAAGACAGAAACATTTAAATCATGCATGATTCTACCACTTAACATTCTTTTTCTTCCAGTTCTTTTTCTATACAGGTTGCATATACACATATAACACAACATGTGAGAGATCAAGTCATAGGCATTACATATATTATTTGGGATTTTTGCATGTGCCATGAATAGCTTTGTAGGTAAATAGTCTTTACAGCATGATTTCTAAAGATTTCATAACAGTTTGTATTGAGTCATCTTTTAATTTGTTAAATCATTTTAGCCCTGAAATTTGAGTCGATTACAAGTTTTTACTAATACAAATAGTGCTGTATGAATACCATTGTATGAAAGTTGTTATATACATATGTCTCTGATTCTTTTCTTTGGTTCTCAAGGAATTGATGGATAAAAAGCCATAAACATTTTAAAGTTCTTCAATATACATCTTCTAGTTACCCTCCAAGACAGTACCAAGTGACACTCAGATCAATAAAGCATTAGAATTTCCAAAATATTCTTTTGTAATGTTTTTTCCCACTCAGGTTTGCTCTTAGGTTCATTTAATATGGTTTTTCCTGGATAGAAATATTGCCAGTGGTAGGATGAGGTATTTAGAACACAGCATGATTTCCACCAAGTCCCCAAGCCCCTAAAGCACTTGTTGAGATGTGGGGGTGGGAATTGGGGAGACATGCTTTGACAGTGCTCTCAAACAAAAAGAGCTCCCAGCCAGGTCTTACCCCACAATTTCCTACATTCAAGAAACAATGGAACACAAACCAGTTTGTTCTGCATATAAAGAATCAAGTCAGATGAATAATCTCTACAAAACTAACTTGAAATATTTTCCCCTAGCTAATGAAGAGAACAACTTTTTTATTTTTCAACCTGTGTTAATGGCTTCAAGTTTCTATTTTTCTCAAACTGTCAAGAAAAGGATTCATTATTCTTTGCACATATACTTCTACATTTTGCTGTGAAAGTCAATATTTATTGCACTTTTTTCTGCATTTCTTAATGGAACATGTGTGTGATTATTGAATAAACATGAATGTATTGAGTTTTGCAACACTTCTACTCCTATAATTTGTTAGGATTTTTTTCACTCCTCTAACTCAAAACAGATTTATTTTTCTAATAAGATTTTGCAAGTTCTTCGTCCACAGTATCCACTAGATTTATTTCATTTTCAAAATATAAACTGCTGCACCTGGGCAGCAATTTTTTGATCACCTCAAATGGTTTATAATGGTTTCTAAGGTAGAGCAATAGCATGCATACTCACCAGATGTACTTCAGTTCTTGCATGACATTCTGCTTCAATATTTTTTGGTCTGCTTATTCCATCTCACTCTCCCTGACCACGTTCTCAGGCTTTATTTTATCCTCATTTGCACATCATGCAAGAGAGCATTTCAGCTGAATAAAGTCTCCTTTGCAAGATTTTTTAGAGATGGAAGATCTAATAAATTTCTGATAAGAAAGTTTATTATTGTTAGTGTAATTATTATTTAGCATGGGCAAAGCATTTCTATGTTACTCCCAGCTTTAAAGAACCCTTAGATAGTATTATCTTCTCTCCTAAGGCATCCTGGCAGGATTCTTCAATCATTTTCTCTACATGAATTCACAGGCCCAATAATTAGGAATTCAGAGAACAGTAAAGGAAATTTTAATTTTGGATTTTACAAATGTTGTAATGGTTAGTCTAGCACATTTACAATTTTTTTTCCTAATGAGCTCAAAATATGTCGCAAATTATCAACAAGATTTTCCTTAACACAACGTAGCATAACTAATCTCAGTGAAAATACAAAATGAAATAACAAGCATAAGTTTCTTCTGATTATGATTTGTACTATTGTGACTATTGTCTTGGAAGTTTCTACTTGATTTTGCTTTTGGTCAAATGAACACATAGTTTCTTTGTGATCCATCAGTGGACCGTGGAACAGATCTTCTGTGCTCATTAAGAAGATTCCAATTCCAAATCAGAAATTTTACCTGGGATAATTTTTTTCCTTGAATTTTGTAATTTAAAAAAAAATATACAGTTGAACTGAGTGTTTTGTTTGTTTTTACATTTGAAAAATGTCCCAAGTCTACAAGATTTTGTTAATAAAATAGATTCCTTCCAGACTTTTCCTATATTTCATCATAGTAAGACAAATCCATAGAAGTAAAGGCAGATGTTTGCAATCCAAGAGGCCTTGAAAATTTACAGATCGGTTGCTATTTTCATTTTTTTTTCTTTACCAAAATCATGGTGTTTTTAAGCTTGGACATTAGCCTGGAATTAAGCAATCTTCTTCATAGTGATCAATATTTGTGGAGTATTACCATTAATAACCCAACACTCACCCACCTCCGAAAAAAAAACACCACATAGCTTTTTACAAAAGAAGTCAATATGTGTTCTTTACTCCTCTAGGCTAAGTACAAAGTTAATTTTATTATTTCAGCCATGATCTCTCCCATGAGGTCAGATTAACAACCCCCATGATAATCAACCCCCCAAGACATCACCATTTGGATGATCAATAAGCAACTCAAACTTAATAAACCCTCATAAAATGTGCTCTTGATGTACCCCTTTCCTCAATCTCTCTTCTAGACTTTCCCATCTCATAAAATAACACAACTACCTACTCAAATTAAAACCTGCCCTCTTTGATTATCCTTTCCTTCTCCCCAACATCCAATTCAAACCCAGTCCTGTTGACATCAACTTCAAAAATAAGCCAAGTCCATCACCTTCTTTCCATACCAACTGGTATCATTGTGGCCCAAGCTCCATTGTCCTTCTCCTGAAATTCAGGAGCTTGTCCCTAGACTTCTCTGTTTCTACCTTTGGGCCACTACAACGAGTTCACGTAACCCAGAATGTGATAACTCCCTTCACACTCAGAACTTGAGGTTTTACATGGCCTGCAAGGCCTTACTTCAGAGACCCTGTCCCTCCTGTAAAAGCATTTCATACCATTGTACCCTCTCCTTCTGTGACCTGGACTTCCTGGTCTTTTTTCCTTGAATGTACCAAGCACAGTCCTCTCTCTTGGGTTTTGTCCTTTTTTCTCTATATGGAACTCTCTCCCTCTGACCCTTGTATAACTAACATCTCCTCAGTGAGGTCTCAGCCCAAATATCATGTCCTTAGACAGGTGACATTCGACCACTCCTGTCTCTCTCACATTTCTCTGCTTATTTTATTTCCAGAAATTATTTCTCTTTCAATTTCTATTCTTATTTGTCTACTTTTTAGTGGCCTAGTCCACTGCCTAGAATAGAAGCCCCTTGGGAGAAGAAAGCTTGTGTCTCTGAATCACCTCCGTAACCACAATGTCAATATTCACATGGTAGGTGTTTAACAAATGCTCACTGAATTAAAAAATTTCTCAACAGTCAGACAATTAAACTCATTGGCCATTCAAGGCTCCTCACGATCCTACCCAAACCTGTAATTGTAGCCTATCTCCCAATATTACAAGCCATATCAGACTAGTCGTTATTTCTTAAACACACAAATTTCATGACCCTGTGCCTTTTATCAGAGCATTAGTGCATTCTCAAATGTCCTTTCTTGCCTTTACCTGACACCTATCCCCAGTTCCACTGGTTAAACTCTACTCAGTGCTCAGGACCCAACTTAAACATCACCTACCCATAACCCTTTGTCTCTCTATTGCAGGGTCCTGGGTGCAGTTCTCACTCCCAATTAGGTGTGTCTGTCTCTTGCTTCCCCAAGATGTGCTATGTTCTTGGAAAGCAGAAACTTAGTCATTCCCACATCTTTCACAGAACACAGTCTAGACCATAGTAAGGACTCCATAAATGCTTTTTGGCTTGAACTGAATTGAATTGAACTGAACCAACTATAAAAAAGATGACTCAGAAACTAAACTCTGTGTCTCCAATCAGAAGCTTTTTAACGCTCAGTTGATTGTGAAATGCGTGGCTCTTTCATTTAATGGGGAGAGGGAGTGGATTTCTGTGTGCTGAGAAATTTTCTCTGGGTTTGCTCTGCCTATTGCAAAGAGGGACATGATCAGAAATCATTGACCTTGTGTTCCCTGTATCTCTGTCTTAAATCACCAGCTGCTTGTTGAGCCTTTATCCCTAGGTTTGGCGGAGGCGAGCTTGCTTCTCTCACATGTGTTTTTCCTTCAGAGTGTTGATATTGGGCTGTATCCTATACGATAACAAAATACCAGATTTCTCGGGTCATCAGTTTAATGCAGCTGTGGTTGGTTGAAGTTCATGAAAGTCACTACTTGTCATCTGTTTATATTATGCCCTAGTAAATGGGGTGGAGGTTTGTTTTGTTTTGTTTTTGCTAGAGAGTCAGAAAATTCATGGCTGGATTCGTAGCCCCCGCCCCCCCCCCGCCCCACACACACAGATACATCTCCCACACACACATTTCTTGTTAATTGGCATGAGAATGGGGGGTTTTGGGGGGAAAGAAGCATCCTGTGGATGCTCAGCAGAGCCTCTAATAATGTGGAGGGGAAACAGGCTTCAGTGGTTTCTCCTTGAGTGAATCCCTATTGTTCCATTGCACTCAGGGAAAAATCTGTAGTGCAGGAGAATGGGACATCATATCCTCAGATAAGCCAGACTGGAAAAGATGTATCTAGAGGGCCCAGGAGCACCTTCAGAATGCCAGGGAGTGAATTAGATGTATGCAGACATCTCTGGAACTTTAAAAGGCAGGGTTGAGCCCTAACTGAAGCAAGTCAACCATACAGCACAGGTACATAAAATGCAGTGAGTTTGGGACAGCCCCTTGACAGCTAAATTATTGCCAAGAAACATTCCCTCCTCAGCCCTGGTCCATAAGTTTGTTCCTATATAGAGGTCGTTCATGAGATGTCCACATGAGTGAGGTGAGTGAGTCCTGATACCATGTGGTGGCAGCTCTCTGGGGACTTTTCATGGGATCAGGTAGAGAATGCCTAAAACTGGTCAGAGAAAGCCTTGCTTCTTCTTCTCCTTCTTCATCCCTTTTGATAACTTCCCTACTCTTCAGTACCTGACAGCATCCTTCCTCTTGCCTCCTCTCCCCAAAGACAGAGAAGTCACTATCCCAAAGGAAACCCAAGGTCTAAGCAATGTGCCTGAAGGAGACCGAAATAAAGCTCCAGTTCCACATGACCACTAAGCTTGCAGCAGGAGAAAGAAAGGGAAGGCTGATTTGGGACGAACTGACAGCAATTTCTTCAAATCAGTTTGATTCAATTCCATTTAATCAATGGTTAGAATGGGAGAAGTATAAGTAGGAGCATCAAAGCTGAACAGGTAGATCATTGCTCTTCAGGGTGATATGGCTACTAAAAGGTTCATCAGATGCTGGAGATAAAAACAGCATCCATGTGCAGATCTATGTGAACGATGCTGGTGAGGATGAGCAGGAAAAGAGGGTGGTGCCACTCCTCAGAGTCCAAATGTGGCCTTTGCTAATGGGGTCTCCCCTATCTGATCCCACCTCAGAGGTATCAAGGTGGGCTCGATCTCCTGATTCTTTGTGAAGTCCCAACAGGCCAGGAGACATGTAAACATAGTTTATTTTCTTAAATGTTGCATGTAAATTAAGCATGGAATGTATATCAGAGGTCAGAACCTGTGATTACACTGAGTCTTCTCTACTTTTCTTTGTGGCAATGAATTCTGGAGTGTGTTTCCATGACTTTATGCCAACAGAGAGATGTCTGATGGTTGGGGATTTACCTCAGTTCAAACAAAGCAAAGAAGCCCATTGGGAAGTTTCCTTCCAGAAATCCTTAGAAGAACTCCTCCCTTCCCAGAACCTACTGAGGTGTCTATCGCAGAGGACAAGAGACACATGCTTTAAGACACAGTATCTTACACTGGTGGATAAGGAAGCCTTTCTAGGTGTGTTTTGTGCATATACACGTGTGTTTGAGTGTGTGGGAAAGTGTTTATTGATTTAAAGAATACCTGCTGGGTTGCAAGCTTCACAGAGAGAGAAAAGTAAACAAGAAATAAAAAATAATAATCAAGTATGTTGACATAGGATCTTACCACCCACCCTGCTGAGTCTTTAGAAGAATTTAAAAGCATGCTCTTCCAAGAACAATTTTCAGGGCTGATATATTGTCCTTAGGACACCAAATATTCTCAAGACAAATTCTAGATGCTTGTATCTTGCAAATCATTTTATAGCAAATGATTTAATATCATTTTCCCATTACATAGATCAAAACTACTGTGCTTCACTCAGCTCCATCAAAATTCTTTTAAAAATTCTTGGAAGAGCTGCAAGAGAATCCCCCCATGGTCATAGGCTTGCCTCTTCATCTCCTAGAAATTCCTACTGAAGTAAAATGTCTATTTTGCTCAGAAATGAGCAAAGAAATATATACATAAACAGGCTAGATTACACAACAAGAGATATTAGAAAGCAAACTAGACTCCTTGGAGTTCCAAATCAAATGCAGTGAAAGTGACATAAAGTCTGCTGCTAGGTTCGATTCCCTTAAAACATCAAAATTATATTTGGAGGAGGCAGGTGTGGTTAAGTGGGTCACATTCATTTTGATCCAGAAATTACAATGTTCAGATGAAGAGAGTGATATGTGCCTGCACTCTGGTTGGCTCATCACACCTGGAACTGGGTTCAATTCTGAGGGCTCTATTTTGAGGAGATTAGCCAGAATGTCTCCAGAGTCAGAAACTATAGTGGTGAGTAATTCAGGAATTATTTCATGGAAAGTACAGTTAAGAAAACTGTAAGAATAAATCTGGAGAAAAAGAGAACAGGAAAGGCAGCAAAGTATGAAAGACAAAAATGCCAAAATTCTGAAAGTTTTTCACACTGCATTTTTTGTATTTTCCAAAGAGTGCTAGGAAGTTCTCTGTAGCTTCTTCTATTTAAAATGCTTTACCCATTCCCTTTCTCTTGTCTGTTGATCCCTCTAGAAACAGCTCAGAGTCACCTCTCCAGAAAACCTTATAA